CTTGGTGTGAATGGAATGGGAGAGGGAGCGGGAGATGGGAGGGTTGTGTGTGAGTGGGAAGTTATGGGGGGGAAAAGCCACTGTAATCCATAAACTGTACTTTGGAAATTTATATCTACTAAATAACAGTTTAAAAAAAGAGAAAAAAAGGTTAGTGCATATATGTTTATCCCTTCCTTCTGCCTTCTGCAAAAAAGTTTCTCTATTTGAGCTTCCAACTTATGAATTTGTTTTTCAGTCCCACTATCTGACTATTTATATCATCAACTTTGCTTTTTTATTTAAACTCAGATTTTCCAGGTCTAAAATTTCCATTTCACTCTCTTTTATACATTCTTATTAATGTCTCAGATGACTGACATGAGCACTGACAAAGGACTAATAGCCTCCTGTATGACGCATTGGTATCACACTTATTTTGCTTTCTTGATTTGTTTTTTTCTGATCCTCCTGCTTCAGAGATGTGATGACTTTCTTTTGAGGAAGTTGTTCTGCTCAGAGTCTGCTTATTTTGAACTAGGATCTCATATTTCCCATACTTTATCTGAAAGGATGCACTGTGGAAGGCAAAAGGCAGGGCTTTGCCATTCAAGCTGAGTTTAGGGGAGAGGGTGAGTTGCATAGAGAGCCCCTCAGGGCCACAATCACCGTATTAGTCTTTCCCAATGCTGCCTCTTGAACAGCTGACTCTTCTAGTGGGAGATGCACTGACAAACTTAGAGTGAAGCAGCACCGGATGGAAGCACTTTCTCTACATTTTTATTCCCTGGAGGTCTGGATGGATAAGGATAGCAAAAGCAAAAAATGAAAACAACTGATTGATGCTACGCTTCCCAGAAATTCCTCTTCAACAGGTTTTTGCTGTGATACTTCCAGATTTGAAGATCTGGAATCTCAGAGTGGTTTCTGAGAGGAAAATGCACGTAAACATTGACTCAAGGTAACACAGGGCAAGGCAGAGTGTCGGGGGAATGCAAGAATAACACTTCAAAAGCTTTTCTCTTATTATTCTCTCTCATGCCACTGCAGTAGTCAACCTCCTCCCCTTCCTTGCACTGCAGTTCTGGATGGCCTCATTCTTTTAGTTGTGGCCCCAAATCCATGTTAGCCTCTTTCTCTTATAGTTTATCTGCAGTTGATATGGAAGAGGAAACAAGTGTCCTGTGCTAACTCACTGTTTTGGCAGAAAGAAATATATACAGACACACATGTGTATGCACTTATAAAATGAGTATTTTTAAAAAATTTTATTTGAATATTTTTATTTATTTGAGGGGCAGAGGGACACACAGAGAGAGAACAGAGAGAAAGAGACAGAGACAGAAAGATATCTTCCATCCCCTGGCTCACTTCCCAAATGCCCATAACACTGCTCTAGACAAAGCATGGAATTCCATCCTGGTCTTATATGTAGGTGTCAGGGATGCAAATATTTGAGACATCACCTGCTGCCTCACAGTGTGAGCATTAGAAAGCTGGAATTGGGATGCAGTTGGGAATAGAACCAGGGATTCCTGTACAGAATTTGGGCATCCCAAGGGGCGTCTGAATTGCTGTGCCCAATGTTTGCCACCAAAATGATCTTTTTTTTTTTTTTGATATAGAAAGTGGGGAGTCCCTTGATAAGTGAATAGATATATAGTTTGTTTAAACAGTGAAAAACATAAAAAGGATATACAGAACTTTAAACTTTTATTTCCTTAGGAACAAATCATGGAGAGATTGCTGTATTTTCCTTTATACCACTTTATGTTGGGAAAGCACTTAACTTTATAGCTTGAAATGAAATGCCAATTAGTATGCTGTAAGAAGTAACCTGGATCAGCAGGTGGCAGCATAGTAACACATTTGGTCTAAGTGTGTCACAGTGACCTGTTGCTTCCATGTTTTCTGCATTTAACCACAATAAAATGACATCAATAGATTGTGTGATCCAATTATTGTTTTATTTGGGCTAGATGCCTGCTTAAAATATTTTTTTTTTGTTCTTAATCTGTGTGATTAAGTTCCTTTGATTCCCCTCAATGAGACATTCTCTTTTGTTTGGTTCCTATTAATGTATTTAAGTTATAAGAAATACCTTGGTGATTTAAAAATGATTAAAAAAACCCGTTTTTTATTCTATGTACTATTAATTGGATAAGTTCTAGGACTTTTCCAGGGCAGATTGAAAAGCTGGTTTGTGACCACTTTAATCTTACCTATGGACCTGCTGTAGTTCAAATGGAGAGTTTCCTTTCTGTTAGTGGCCAGGGCCACCAGATAAAGAGCACAGTCTAAAAACAATGGAGCAATGCCTGGCCGCACTTCCCAGGAGGGCTGCTGCTTTCAGCAGCAGTTACAAAAAATGCTTATGTCTCTTTATGTGGTCTTGAGAATGATGACTTTATTTTTTATTTTTTATTTTATTTATTTATTTATTTATTTATTTTTGACAGGCAGAGTGGACAGTGAGAGAGAGAGAGAGACAGAGAGAAAGGTCTTCCTTTGCCGTTGGTTCACCCTCCAATGGCCGCCGCGGCCAGCGCGATGCGACCGGCGCACCGCGCTGATCCGATGGCAGGAGCCAGGAGCCAGGTGCTTTTCCTGGTCTCCCATGGGGTGCAGGGCCCAAGCACCTGGGCCATCCTCCACTGCACTCCCTGGCCACAGCAGAGGGCTGGCCTGGAAGAGGGGCAACCGGGACAAAATCCGGCGCCCCGACCGGGACTAGAACCCGGTGTGCCGGCGCCGCTAGGCGGAGGATTAGCCTAGTGAGCCGCGGCGCCGGCCTTTATTTTTTATTTTTAAGATGATTTATTTCTTTATTTAAAAAGCAGAACGACAGAGAGAGAGAGAGAGAGAGAGAGAGAGAGAGATCTTCCATCTGCTGATTCACTCCCCAAATGGTCACAATGGCCAGAGCTAGGCTGATCTGAAGCCAGAAGCCAGAAACTTCATCCAGGTCTCCCACGTGGATGACAGGGGCCCAAATACTTGGGCCATTTTCTGCTTTCCCAGGCACATCAGCAGGGCACTGGATCAGAAGTGGAGTAGCCGGGACTCAAACTGGTACACATATGGATTCCAGGGTCACAGGCTGCAGCTTTAACTGCTATGCCATAATGCCAGCCCTGGGGGAGGGGGGATGGGCTTGGTTTTAAACACAGTTATACTCAACATCTAGAATAGATGATACCAAACACATAGAGGTTCAGGAAATATCTGTGAGATGAATGAACAAGTGATTATGGAAGAGGTTTGCTGGAACGCTCCAGCTCAGGGATGTCCAGTAGGATTTTCTGTGATGATGGAGAGGCTCTTTCTCAGTGCTGGTCCCAATGATACCCACAGCCCCAAGCAAGCATTTTGTGCTTGCAATGTGGTTAATGTGACTGAGGAAAGGAAGTTTCAATTTGTTTAATTAATTTAAATCTGATTAGCCTAATGGAGCTGCCATACTGCACAGTGCAGCTTTTGGTGCATAGAGGTTTCCTGTTCTCCATTTTGCAGTGTTAGCGGGTGACAGACTGGGCCATTCTCACTCAGCTGCATACATAAACCCCTTTTCAAATAGGATCTATGTATGCACTCTGAGGTTATTAATCACAGTGTTCTTGGTGCAATTATTCAGGGTTTAGTGATTGACAAATGACTTGCTAAGTACACTCATATTCTTCTTGTAGGAATTAGTTGCCTGCAGCGGCTGATCATTCAAAAAGAATCTTTCCTCCATCATCTTCCTGCCTGATTCAGTTCCCAGATGATCCTTGTTTGGTGAAGATTGTATAGATAGGAGTATAACAAACGGGTTTTTGTTTTAGCACTTCCAAGGCATTATCACTTAAAAGAGAAATAAGAAAAATATTTCCAAATTTATGAAGAAAATTTGAGTACATAATTTTTAGTAGAAACCTTTTCGGGGCTAGCACTGTGATGTAGTATACTAAGCCTCTACCTGAAGCACTGGCGTCCCATATGGGCACCAGTTTGTGTTCTAGATGCTCCTCTTCTGATCCAGCTCTTTGTTGATGGCCTGGAAAAGCAGTGGAAGATGGCCCAAGTGCTTGGGCCCCTGCACCTGCATGGGAAACCTGGAAGAAGCTCCAGGTTCTTGACTTTGGATTAGACCATCTCCGAGCATTGCTGCCATCTAGGGAGTGAACCAGCGGATGGAATACCTTTCTCTTTGACTGTTCCTCTCTCTGTCTGTAACTCTGCTCTCAAATAAATAAATTAAAATCTTAAAAATATAGAGACTTTTTCTCTTCTACTATTGATTCCATTGTAGTGGTTCTTAACTGGAAGTAATTTTCGCTCCATAGGGGATATTTGACTTTTTCCGGATTTATTTTTGGTTATCACATCTTGGTGAGAGGTATTATTGGCATCTAGTATGTAGAGGTAAGGAATGTTGCTAAATAGTCACCATGCATAGGACAGTCTTCCCCAACAATTATCTGTGACAAAATCAAAGGCACCATGATTGAGAAACCTGTATTCTAGTGATGATTCAAAGGTAATGTCTGAATTTATTATCATAAATATTTTTAATGTATACAATAAAATATGTGGGGCAAGAGAGACTGCTACTTGATATAACCCTCCAAATCCTTTTATTTATTTATTTTAATTTTCTTTCATTTGAAAGTCATAGATACAGAGAGGGGTAGAAAGAGAGAGAGAGAGAGAGAGATTTTCCATCTGCTGGTTCAGACCCTACATGGCCTCACTGGCCAACCCCTTGGCTGAAGCTAAGAGTCTGTAGTGTCCTCTGGGTCTTCCACATGGATCTACTGCTTTTTCCAGGCCATTAACAGGGAGCTGGACCAGAAGTGGAGCAGTCAGGACTCAAACTGGCACCAATATGAGGTGCTGGCATCACAGGCAATTTCATCTGCTATGCCACAATGTTGGGCTACCCCTTGTCCCAATCTTAACAATAAGTTATCTCATTTATTTATTTTTCATTTTGTTTGTTTATATTTTTTAAAGTTATCTCATTAACTAAATTACTTGTACATGGGAAGAAAGCAAATAAACGTTCAGATTCAGCAAATTAGTTTTGTTATATACTAGTTGATAACCACATACAGTACTATAAAATATGTAATCAAATACATATGGAAATGACATTTCCATAATAATTTAACCATTCCAAAGATGCCTTCTTGATTATCTGAAGACTTTGTATAAATATCATTCTTCAAGAAATGCCTATTTTTAATTTAATTTAAATATTCACAATAAGGTCTTTACAAAATCCTTTATCAAATTGTTTATGAATATCTTATTTTATCTTGGCTTCTCATGTAAGTTGTTTAGGAATATCTAACTTATATTGACTCCCCATTCTGAAGGCCCCCAAATTGTCCTAAAGTGGGTTGAAAAAATGTTTAAATAAAATGCATGAACAGATCATGAAACAGCAGTGAAAAGTAAATTTATGCCAAGTGTGGATCCTCTCTTGTTTTTGGAGACTGAGCTCAGTGGAGTCCATTCTTGTTGAATTCTTGCCTCTTCTCATTCAACTTCATGAAAGGCCAAGAAACTTGATCTTTTGTTTCTGAGCATTAAAGGCATGTTTACACAGTTCAGAGCAGAATCCTACGCTAGACAATATTTCCAGTTCTTCTGCTATCTTATCCAAGGACTTATCAACTGCTTCAAAATAACCAACAGTGTAATCATTTAAAGAAGTTGAAATCTGCACCAAATCATTTGTGATAGAATTGGCCAACACTAATTCTTTGATCTGTCTATAACATATAATGAGCCTCATCTGTTGAGGAAGACAGAAACTGGGGAACCATCAGGGAAGGGAAGTATGATGTGTCAGAGAAAATGTAGATTGCTTAGCCCCTTGCCTGGGTTGAACTGCCAGACTACTCTAAAATGTAATAGTGACTGGAAGACGAACAAGAACGTGATTAGTGACACTTGGACGCAATGGAAGATCTTCGTGGAGTTGGCAGTGCCTCCTATGCTCTTGGTCAACAAAACACAGCCTTCCAACTGTTCAAGGGGAAAGTTGTCAGATCGCAGTTACTTGCATCTTGAATTCAACGACAATACACTTAGCAACATACACTAAACACAATCTGATAGAAACCACACATGACATTTGTAGTTAGAACGTAGGTGTAGTTGTTGCACTAGATGTTAGTTTTAGATTTAATCCAGTCCCGATAATGAGTCACTTTGGTATAAAGTCCAGGTTTGTTCTTTTTCCCACAGTCTATTCCCCAGCTTACTATTCCAATGAGGTACCAGATGTTTCTGTTTTGTGCAATAACCAGAGGTCCTCCAGAATCACCCTGGAGAAGGAGAAAAAACATGATCAGTGTGAAAAATAATGGGATGTCAGAAATAATGGCTAATTGGAATATGAATATCTAATAAATTTATCCAACAAATTTGAATTAAATATATGAAACTAATTTTATTTATTTATTTTAGTTATCCAAATAACTGTCATACTAATGTGGTAATTAAGTTTATTATTTACCTCTTATTAATAGCTTCAGTTGGAAGCTGGTGTGAATAAAGATAAGGTTTTCATGTTGTCTTTATAAAATTTTTAATTTTGCTGTAATTGGGTACTAGAAAGTGAACCTAAGGCCAGGTCATGCATCCATTATGACCTCAAGGCTCAACTAAAATGTTATGTCCTCCACAAAACCTCTCCTTACTTTCTTATCTAGAAACAACCTCTTCCTTTGCATTTGAACCTCACCTTGTCCCACTCACATGCATTGATAGTGAGATGTTCTGGATGTTGTACTGATGTGCAGGAATAGACTGGAGAGGAGGGAGACAAGCAGAGGGCACTCCAAGCAAATGTACACGATTTATTACTGAAAAGATTTTGCTCACAAACTAATGTTCCTTACTAGTGTGTCTTAGTGAACTGGTTTAAAATATGTGAATGAGGAGACTTCACTGTTATCTTTAACCCACTGTTTAGACAAATGTTTGTAAATGTATCTTTTAGTAATGGAGCTATCCTTTCAAAAGAAGTGTTATTTGGAAGCCCATTACAGATTAGCGTCACACACACACACACACACACACACACGAAAAATTAGTCTACTTGAAGCCGGTATTGAATTCTAGGGCCCTGTGCCCTTATCTCTGGTGTCTAGTGAGAAGAGTTTGAAAATCTGTCTGCCAAAACAATCCTCTGCAGTAATTATCCCTTGTGCCCATAAGGTAATTTAGTGCCTCAGTGTTCTGCTATGCTAGTGGTGATAAGAAATAAGGGAGTGTGAACCAATGGAAAGAGATGTTTCTGTGTAGATTTAGTTATATTTCTCTCAAGTCATGAGATTGAGGTGTATTTTAGATCATCCACATGGTTTTTCCTTCACCTGAGACAGTAAATTGAGTGAAAAGAGACCATGTATTCCACAATATGTAGCCAATTCCTGATTTTTGGTTAACATGTTTTAGTTACTTTTGTGTTATATTATTAGACTGTAAGTCATGTGGATTCTTTATGATTTTTAAAACGAATTTCCTTATCTAATTGAGACAGAATTCTTATCCACATTTTCACTCCCTAAATGCCCAGAATGGCCAGATGGACGGGGCTGGGCTGTGGCTGAAGCTGAGAACTGTGAACACGATCCATGTCTCCCGTATGGGTGGCAGGGACCCAATTATTTGAGTCTTCATCGATGCCTCCCAGTGTCTGAATGAGCAGGGAGCCAGTGTCAGGAGCTGCAACCCATATGGGATGTAGGCTAGGCCAAACATCCGCCCTTGACTTTTTTAAATGTTCATATTGGCTTCAGTAACTGCCACAATACCTCGCAGTTACAAAAAAAATGCTAATGCTAAGTGAATGAATGCTTACTACCATTATAGGACACACAGCCATTGGCAGATGAATTGTGGCACTTCTGTATACACATCAAATTCTCAGAGCCATTCTTAAATCTTTAAAGAATTGCTAAACTGTTGGATCCATTTTCAAATGCTATAAATTAAACCTTTATTATTTTATTTTGTAAAATTTTTATTTATATAGATGGAGAGAGAGAGAGAGAGAGAGAGAGCACTCTCATCTGCTGCTTCACTTCCCAGATGTCCACAATGACCCGATCTGGCTCAGGCTGAATACAGGAGCCAGGAATTCAACCAGGTCTCCCACTTGGATGGCAGAGACTAAGCTGCCTTATCGGTACCAGCTGCCTCAAAGAGTACACATTAGCAGAAAGCTGGAATCAAGAGTAGAATTGGGACTTTAACCCAGGCACTCTGATGTAAGACACAGGCATCCAACCAGCATCTTAAATGCTAAGCCAAGCACCACATCTTTTGGTTATTTTTATTTCATTAAATAACCATACTTTAAAATTTGTGTTCTCCTTACATGCTAACTGCTTAAAATTAAAGTTTTGACTGTGGAAAAAACTATTTACTTACTTAGTTTCTAGAAATGACCTGTGAGGTGACACTTGAATGTTAGTGTAGATGAATATGTACTACCGAATTTAGTTCTAAATAGTATAATTCTACCTATGGACATACAACCTTCAACATGCTCAATCTTGTCTGAATAGTGTAATTCTACCTGGATGTATGCTGTGTAAAGATGAATGTTTAAACACTGGTGTTGCAAGAATTTATGGACGATGGAGATATCTGCAGATCTGTCCCACAGTGCTTTGCAATTAGCAAGGATTAGGTACGTAACTATTGGTGATGACTATGGCTTGAAGCAATAATTACATGTCTTCTTGACTTGGTTTCTGCTATTTGCTTTTTCTCTAACCAAAGTTCTATTTTGCAGCTGACCACCATTTTTTACAGATGACTTTCCTCAACAGCAAATTATTAAATGAGTGTGTCTTGTGTATCTCGCACTCCTTTTGATTGTTCTCCTCTCTCCCTTCTCATCCATGAATTAATTTGATGGAATCAGATGAAGTAACATGAATTTACAGTCAGCAAGTCCATCCTTGCTAAAGAGAGTAACTTTTGTGAATTTGAGTCTACTCTTACCTCACATGCATCTAGTTTTCCTGTCAAGAATCCAGCACATATCATTCCTGATGAAACAGCACCACCATACACCTTAACTTGATTACAAACATCGTTACTTATGATCTCTATCTCAACTTGTCGTAGAGTATTGGGAAAGGGACCTAAAGAAGGAAAAGATAAGTAGATGAAGAATATCCACATTCTTGCTACAATGGTGAATTGTTGTGTCTTACAAAGGATGAACCAGTGATAAAACATAAATCTTAAAGTTCTAAGGTTTTGGGCTGGATGACAGTGTTCGGAACCAAGTTACATTTCTTGAGTGCTCTCCATGTGCCAGGCACTGTGTTTGGCAAGCTTCCTCTTACTATCCTACTTAGTTCTTGCAATAACCATGATAGTTAGATATGGGAATTTTCTTTCTCAATTGAGCAAACCAAAATTTACCTGGTTAAAATTCTTGCCATGACCACATAACTAAACGGGAGACAACATTACATTTAAACTTGGGTTTTTTTTTTCATTACCTGGGAGAATATGTAATACCTTAACTTACCTTACTTGGAAATTTTTCTCATAACCCTACAGAGTACATAGCTGTCTTGAGAACTGGGAATTCTTTAGGGAAGGAAAGCAACACAGAACGAGACCTTATTACATGAAATAATGTTAATACTGTTGGAATCCTACTGCTTCATAGGAAAGATCATGTTTACTTTGCTAATGGAAGTAGTATAACTTGCTATTCAGAACAAATACCAGGGCAAGTTAACAAATGTTGAGGTAAAAAAACAGATTTTGTTAGAAAAAAAGCACATAGACTCTGTGAATCTTATAAATGGTGACAATGAAATCCGAGAAATATACAAAATCATGAGAATGTTAAACTTTAATAAAATGTAAAATGCATTCTTTTAAAAAAGAAATAATCTTTTATTAATTAATTACAAGTATTGATTCATTATTATAAGAAAGTATTATTTAGTTGCATGTAGCATTGTTTTAGTCTTAGTATTGTGTTCATTTTCCATTTATAGATTGATTTTTAAATAAATTATTCACATAAAATAGAGGCTGTGTTTAAAAGGGCTCACAGGGAGAGACTTGTCTTATCAACTGTTCCTTTGACAGATTTTGAAATCTCTAAAGTATTTTTTGTGTAAGTGTTTCAACAAAACTCAATACTATCTATTTTGTGGTCTCTAGTGTCATTAAATGATTTGGATATTCCTAGGCTTTAATCAACTGTATTTCAACTATTTATACTTTCCTTGTTCCAAGGAAATTTTTATTTAGCTAATTGGTATGCTTAATTTTAAATTTAAAAGTTTTTTTTTTTTTTTGACAGGCGGAGTGGACAGTGAGAGAGAGAGAGACAGAGAGAGAAAGGTCTTCCTTTTGCCGTTGGTTCACCCTCCAATGGCCGCTGCGGCCGGTGCACCTCGATGATCCGATGGCAGGAGCCAGGTGCTTCTCCTGGTCTCCCATTGGGTACAGGATCCAAGCACTTGGGCCATCCTCCACTGCACTCCCGGGCCACAGCAGAGAGCTGGTCTGGAAGAGGGCAACCGGGACAGAATCCGGTGCCCCGACTGGGACTAGAACCCCGGGTTGCCGGTGCTGCAGGCGGAGGATTAGCCTATTGAGCCGTGGCGCCGGCCTAAAAGTTTTATAATTCTTTAATGTCAACTTAAAAAAAAATAAATTCAAGTGCTTAGCTATATAACCACTATTTTTCTTTATCAAGTGTTCAAAGGAGAAAATATCCAGAGAGTAAAAATATTGTGTCTTGCAAGTTGTCAGACAACAATAATTCCGATTAAATATAGTTGGTTAAATCTTGGAAGGTAGAAGAAGAAAACCTGAATAGTCCTTGTCTTCAAAACGCAGGAAAAAACCATAATCAAATATCTAATCATTAGGGACCTGAGCTTTGACATAGCAGGTAAAGTTGCCACCTGCAGTGCTGGCATCCTGTATGGGTGCCAGCTCGAGTCCCTGCTGCTCCTCTTCCGATTCAGCTCTCTGCTGTGGCCTGGGGAAGCAGTGGAAGATGGCCCAAGTCCTTGGGTCCCTGCACCCACGTGGGAGACCTTGAAGACGCTCCTGGCTCCTGGCTTTAGATCAGCCCAGCTCTGGCAGTAGCAGCCATTTGAGAAGTGAACTAGCAAACAGAAGACTTCTGTCTCTCTCTCTGCCTCTGACTCTCTGTAACTTTGCTTTTTAAACAAATGAATAAATCTTTTTTCTAAAATCTATTAATTAAATTTAGTCTGATGTCTTACAAATTTATAACATTATTTCTATAAAATATTTAACTTATAGGAGTGGATAGCCCATTTCACAATAGTCTGTACATTACTGGGCTTTGAATGATTGATGAAGAAATCTCAAATCACTCCCAAATTACTACTCTGGGAGGAGATGATGAGTTTAATTAGATTCTAGAGGAAGCATATGATGCTATTTAAGAGGTAGATGTGTACCTTTTCTACTCTGATCAGGGAATAGCTTTACACACCAAAGGATTTAATTCCTCCTTCTCATAACTTTTTCTTGTAGAAGAATGTAGAAGCCCCAGAGTTGAAGAATGGAGCTCTCAGGTCATAAGGATAGTGTCTCAACTTGGAGTGCACATCAGAATTTGGCAATGTTTATTGGAGAGACACAAAATTCCATAAAAAAAAACAAACTGATAAAAACGAAGTATAGTGGAACTATAATTTGAACAAATACATAAGACTACAACTTCATAATAAGTGAGTAGAGCTAGAATCAGAAATTTTAGAGCATAAACTATATGCAAAAAGTCCAATCAAGAGGCATAGGACCTGGAGACTCATATCTAGTCCTACAAGTCTATGTTTGCAGTTTATTATGTATTATTAATTGAAGTAAAATTTTGTACTTGTAGACTTTATAAATTTTAGGCTCAAGAACAACTCCACAGGTACATGGATTACAGGGACCCAGAGTAATATTTAGCACCAGGTATAGACCAGCCAGACTCCTCGCTCAAGGCTACTTCTATTTACTTGCATGACACATTACAGAAACTTATCATTACTGTTGCTTAGAAATCATATACTTTATGAATTAGGCATCCATAGCAGACACTCTAGATACGAAAGATGGCAAATTAAAGGAAAGAAACACATGTTAGTGATTTTTCAATAAAGAAAGTTCTAACCAGTTTCTGTAATAGTTTATTAAAAAGAAAATAAATGTAGGTATGGAGTAATAGTAACAGCAAAGTTTTTGGTATTAACCATATCAATTTTTTGTTTTAGTCATATTTGTCATAGTATATCTTGATTCCATCTTGTACATATTTCATTTTGCATGTTCTCTTATCCTCCATTCACATGGGGGATGGTTTCGTATTTTTTGCTCTGTTGATTTTACTGATACTCACCATTCACTTTCAATGCTCCCCATCCAGTGACAAACACTTTACTCTGAGGCAAGACTTCAAAGGTAGCATTCGGGAGACACACTGTGTGCACGTCTTCAGAAAATAGGACAGGGGTGGAGAGCTTCACCACAGCAATGTCGTCCTCGTGCTTGTGGGCAGCATAGTTTTCGTGAACAATAATTGACTGCACATTTCTTCTCATCAGTGGAGGGCTTAGGGTTGTTCCAAAACTAGCCATCCATAGTTTGGGGTTTTTGTAACTAATCACAGATTAAAAGGAGCACAGTTGGTTCATTCCTAATCTGAGGTTGCCCAAGATGCTGGATGGGCATGGGATACAAGTGTGAGGGAAGGGCAGATTATTTAAGGTGATGGATGATGGAGGTATTCCCATCTTCTTTAAAATAGTTTTTTTTAATTGAGAGGCAGAGACAGAAAGACTGAACTAGAGAGACAGACAGACACACACACACACACAAATTTCTTTAATGGTTCACACCACAAGTGCCTGAAATGGCTGGCACTGGAACCATGGGGCAGCACTGGAAAGGAGCCAGAAACTCAATCCGAGTCTGATATAGGAACCAGTTATTGAACCATCACTGCTGTCTCCCAGGGTCTCCATTGATTGGAAGCTGGAACTAGGAGCCAGAGCCAAGAACTGAACTCAGGCAAACTGATGTGGGACATGGCATGTAACCCCTAAGATAAATACCTGCTCCTCCATCTTTTCTATTGAGGCTCTGCTTTCAACTAGCGGATAACAAATCCCTCATCCCATAATAGCTTATTTTTGTCCTTGAAGGGATTCTATATATTTTTAAAAAACTATATCATTGCCATTGTCAATTATAAAACTAATACACATCAATAAATGAAAATATAAATAAAATCTAGACATATATACATACATACACACATACATATATATATACACATACACACTCATATAAATGTATGTGTAACTGTGTAACCATGGAGAGAGAGAGAGAGCAAGAAAGGTAAAATTTTATTATTGTTTTCTCATGCTTCCTTTTTATTTAGTATTGTATCTAGAATATTTTCTCATTTTTAGAAATTTCACTAGCATTACTGTATCTCATTTTGTCCATATATCCCACATGCTAAAGATACTCTCTCTAATTTTTCTACTGTTCTTTAGTAATTATGAGATTAGAATTATTAGATATGAAAGTGAGAAAATGAGATAGCATTGGTGATTTTGTGGGTCCCAACTGAATACTTACGTATCAAAACAGTGGGCGGCAGTCAGGAGCCAATCTTCACTGATCAAAGATGCTCCGCAGAAGTGGACACCATCCATCTGTAGACTGGCTTGCCATGGCCAATCAGCTTTCTTTGCAATTTGACCATCAGCAATTCTTTCCATGGATGGGTATTCCATTCCTATACCACAACCTGTTAGAAGGAAAGAAGATGGCTATTTCCTGAAAGTACTATATGTATGGATATATTTGGCATATAGTTAAAGATGGGAACATCAATACCTATGACTTGCTTTAAAAATTTGTGGGTATTAACCTTACATATAATAGAATAATAATTAGTCACAGAGATAAAAGGTGATTATTTACATTTTAAATGTTTATTAGTATTTAAAAAATAATTATTGAATATTTTCCTAATGTATTTGAAGTAATTTTACTTTAAAACTTGCTTTTTCATATATTCTGGGGTCATGTTCTATATAACGGTTTACCCCAGTGAGAACTGACACACTTGGGTATTAACTGTACACTACTTATTATAGAAAAATGCCATTTGTGGTCTTTTAAAATACTTGTTGGACATTAGGAGCTTAGCAGTACTATAGTGTAAAGTTTCCATATTGAAGTTAATGAATACCAGTTAATTTTAAACAAAATTTTCTACTTTAGCAAAATGAGGGACATTTTAAAAATTCACAAGAAAATAAATTGTTAAATAGTCACTAGTAAAACTTTCTGTGAAAAAGAAGTATTTCCAATAGACCTTTCCAATTATTAGTAGTGATTTTTCCCTTGAGAAGAATGACATCATGCATCTATTTAGAGATGTTCTATAATTTTGGGAAATGATAGGCATATGAATAGAAAAAGGCTAAAAGTGTTTTGAGTTTTAGTGTTAGATTTAGAAGCATCTCAGTGAGATTCTTGAACTTACAGCTATTCAGAATGTGCTCTGCTTGTACTTCATTGATATCTGGAAAAAAACAAGGTGATTAATCATCACTGGAATTATAATTTAAAATACTATGTCTATGAAATGATTTTTTGTTCTGATTGGGAGGAATTGTAGTAGTTAGTTTATCATTAAATTTAACTTAAAGGCTATAGAGTAAATCCTATAAAAAGGAGAGAACTGGGGGGCAAGCCTTTTGGCATAGTGGGATAAGCTGCTGTCTGGGATGCCAGCATCCCATATAGGTGCCAGTTTGCATGCTGGCTGCTCCACTTCCAATCCAGCTCCTTGCCAATATGCCTAGGAAAGCAATAGAAGATGGCCCATGTGCTTGGGCTGCTACTCTCACATGGGAGACCCAGATAAATCTCTTGCCTCCTGGCTTCTGCCTGGCCCAATCCTAGCCATCAAGGCCATTTGAGGAGTGAACCAGTGACTGGAAGATCTCTCTCTTTGTCTCTCCCACTCTCTGTAACTCTAATTTTCAAATAAATAGATCTAAGAAACCAAAAATAAAAACAGTAACTGAGATAGAAAGTTTCTGAAATTCTAGAAGGCTCTGCTATTGCATAGGTCATTGAGTTCCAGAATAGGGCTCTTTCCATAGTCACCTGCAGTCTGTCCTATGGTATATTCCATACATTTCTAATTTTTTTAATATATAGTATATCTATATATACATATATAGATATTTAAATGATCTCTTATCCTATGAAACTCAACTTTGCTTGATAATATATATATTATATATATTCTCTCTCTATATATGTTTTATATATATATATATATATATATTCTCAAAATAATTCCCAAACACTCTTGCAAAGCAGAAGAATTAGGAAGATTCACCACTTTGAGAAGGTGGCAAGGATGGTAATAAGGAAGTCTCAACGCTATCTTACTAAACAAGCAACTGAGGATCTGGTGAGGGGGAGGTGGATCTCCCAGGATGGCCAATAGTGACTGACAGCTGACACCCTCTTCTCAATGCAGCAACACTGTGAAGGACTAAGTTCCCCACAACAATAGCTTCTGAAATAATGAGTTTGTTTCTAACATTCGACTGGGCAAGAGCTCAAAATCAAACTTAGATTTCTTAAAAAACTTCCATGTCTCTTCCACATTCCAGAGGGAATGTGGAAGTGACATGGAAGTCCTCAAACATTCCCTCTGGAAACCTTGTCTCTGCCTTCTATAGTCCAGCGCCTTGGATGCAGCCTGTCTGTGTGATTGATAGAACTGGACATTGGGCATCCCTCACAGAAGGAGCCTCAAATTGATTTTTCTTGTTTCTGACTTATGCCAATGTAAAATATAATCTCCTCTGTTAGCATCTGCTACCTGCTGTACCCCTGGAACTATTTTGTAGAATAGTACTGGGGGAGATTTACTGGCAACTTGTAATTTTCTGTTACTTTATAATCTCATGTCATGGCTTAAACAAGTTCTGGTAAAATATGACAACTTCAAAGTTCACTCATAGTCCTGGAATCACAATGCCCTTTGTTTAATCTCATCCCACAAACATTCGTCAATTAGCTCTTATGTCTGGGTTACAAATGAGAGGCTGTGCTTATCCCAGAGACAGGTCCTATCTAGTCTGGCATCTTTCTTCTTCATTAGCCCCTTCATGTCCTGGGCAAATCTATCCTGGGTGCTGTGGGAAGGATGGAGAGGTGGAGCTCTTCCAACTTGAGCCCAAGTCCTCCTTGAGTCCCACAGACTGTGCTCTGTATGTCCAAACTGCTCTCACATTTTGGATTCAGACCGTAGACAGTACGGCAAGTGAAGAGCGAGGCACCTACCACGTCAGTGATGCAGGGTAGGTTTTATCACATGCGTGCTTCACTAATCCAAACAATTTCAATATGATTTTTTTTAAAAAAAGGAAGAAATACTATTATTTTTGCATTGTCATACAATGCTTGCTTTAAACTTATTTTGATCTTAGCCAAACAAAGATAATCTTTGGTGCTTTGTGGGGGTTGTTCGTTCTCAAGTAAGTGAGAAACTTTCTCTGCAGCTGAGAAGATTAAGAAAGCAAGTAACTGTAGCAAAGGAAGAAAAACAGTATTTCTTGCCTCTAAGGTAAGGGAATGAAGTATCGATCATCAAGAGGCTTTCATTTGAATTCAGCTTCTGATGTAAAATGTCATCAGCTTGCTTTCTCATTGTGTCTGCGTTGTTAGCAGGGAACTGAAACATAAGTAATGCATCTGCTTTCAAACCATCATTGCCTGGCCTGAAAAATAAAATCACCAGAATGAGTGAGGGCATAACCACAGCAGTTACTATGTTATCCATTGTTACTTAACCATTAATTGTATCTTCAAGAAAATATAATAACAATATTTTTTTGATTTGTCATGAAATTTTCTACCCTTCATATGTACACAGATGTTAATACCTGAATTATTTCCTGCTTGTAAAACTTTTTCATACTCAAGGAGAAGAAATTTATATGAAACTTCTTAGAATTATTTTCTGGAAAAATGTCAAATGCACCTGTTAAATTCATTAGCCTTGTGTATATATACATATTTTGTGTTTTAAAAATTCAAAATATCTGTTTATTATTCTTATAAAGTAAATAAAATTGGGGCAGGTGTTGGTCGCAGCGGTTAAGACAGTGCTTGCTGTGTCAACATTCCATATTGGAGTGCCTGGCTTCCAGGACCAGTCTACCCTGCATTCCAGCTATTCCTGCCAATGAGCATCCTGGGAGGCATCAGGTGATGGCCCAAGTAGGAGGGTTCCTGCCACTCATATATAGAGTTGGCTTTGACTTGGCCTACCCCTGGCTTTTGTGGGCATTTGAGGAGTGAATAAACTGATGAAACACCTTTCCCTTTCAATCTATTTGCCTTTCGAGTAAGTAAGTAAGAAAGTGAGTAAATAAATAAAATTGAAAAAAGTAGTTAATGATTATAATAATCTTCAGCTGGAATGCAAAAGTCTTAAAGGACAACTAGTGGAATGCATTTCATCACTATCAAGAACTTCTTACTACAGGTACACAGTGTGGGAGGAATAACAATTAAATATAATATTACAAAGTTGCTTTCATCCTTGGTATGCCTAAGATCTTTGGCTTTTTTCCAAAAAGCACTAATATAATCATTTTATATATTAATACAAATTTCAAAATACAAATTAATTAGTTGTGGTTACCTAAAGTTGACAACATGAGATTTGATGTAATGATCTTTTAAACTGGATCTTTGAAATATGTTATCTATCTGAGAAGAGAAAAGAAAAACAGCAGAGTAGAACTTTGTTAAATGTGAATTTCACACATGTCAATATGTCACAAGGTGCTTGTATAAAATCTGCAATGACACAAATATGATTTGCTTCAATGTTTGTTTAGAGTTATCCACAAAGCTCATTTGGGCTTCATCCTGATGTCATAAAGGTCATACTTACAGTTGAATGTTTTGAACAACTTTTCACATGGCCAGAGATACTGATATAAAGAGTTAAAATTAATCAAGTCATTATCATGCTTATGATAGAATTGAAGGGACAGTATTTTAGGATTTAGTGAAAGTTTTTAAGTCATGTTTTGAACCTGTGGTGAATAAGGGATGTGAAGAGTATATTAATGAATACAAACGTGTAAAATAAATATACTTATCAAGAAAAATACATGAAATTATTTCTTGGAATAAGACAATAAACGCCCCTTGGGCATCATTTCAGATGTTTTACATGTAATAATTTCTCTGTAGTATAAATTCTTAGGTCAAACCATTTCTCAATAAAACCAAAGCTTGTCGCAGTATCTGTGATTGCATGAACTTTATTACAGTTGACTCATCAAGGTGGCCTGTCAGAAATAAGACTGAACCATAAGTGTACCCATATCTGAAGAGTTAGCCAGAAACTCAAGAGGAGATGTTGTACTGCAAAACTGAGTGTAGGGCTAACAAGTGCTTTGTGGTCACCTGGTTTGATTTATGAAATGCTCTTTGGTGAAGTTTCATGTGGTATCATATTGGATAAGTTGGTGAGTACAAGTTGTTTTTTTTTTTTTTTTTTTTTTTTTTTTTTTTTTTTTTTTTGACAGGCAGAGTGGACAGTGAGAGAGAGACAGAGAGAAAGGTCTTCCTTTTTTGCCGCTGGTTCACCCTCCAATGGCCGCCGCTGCAGCCGGCGCACCGCGCTGATCCTGGCAGGAGCCAGGAGCCAGGTGCTTTTCCTGGTCTCCCATGGGGTGCAGGGCCCAAGCACCTGGGCCATCCTCCACTGCACTCCCTGGCCATAGCAGAGAGCTGGCCTGGAAGAGGGGCAACCGGGACAGAATCCGGCGCCCCAACCGGGACTAGAACCCGGTGTGCCGGCGCCGCAAGGTGGAGGATTAGCCTATTGAGCCACGGCGCCGGCTGACAAGTTTTTAAAGAAATCTATAGTTATTCAAAAACAAATGACCATGTGTTTTCCTTATAAAGGACTATGAAGGTAAATTATTTTTAAGGAAATAATTTTACATACAGTACAGACATGTGCATTATTATGATAAGTATATACTAATGCATATATATTGTAAAAATCTTAAGAAGCAACTAGAAGAAAAGAATAAAAACATTCAAATCATTTCTAATGTCTAGAGACCTGTTATTTACCCTTTTGGTATATATCCTTCAAGATTTTACATATATGTTTTACATGTACATATGTAATATAAAAATGTGTATGCATATGCATATATGTAGTACCCATACATTTTCAGCCTGCCTCCTTCCATTTTCTTTCCAATACCATCACTTTTTTTTTCCTTTTTAAATCATAGCTTCATGGACATATTTTATTCATGGCAAATGAGCACATAAACAGTCTGGGTTTTTAACTCTACAAAAAATCTATAAAATTTATTTTAGGTTCTGTCTTTAGTCCTTCCTTCTAGGAAAATATTTGTTCTAAATGTTGTCCAAACTCTAAATCTGGGGTCAGCAAATTACAGCACAGAAGCCAAACTCTTGCCTGCACCTAATTTTTATTGCCCATGATCTGAGAAAGGCCTTCATATTTTTTGATAGTTAAAAAAATGAAAGAATAATATTTCTGAAAACTTAGAAATTTCATAAAATTGAAAATTCAGTGTTCATAACAAAGTTTTATTGAAATATCACATTCATGGCTGGTGCCGCGGCTCACTAGGCTAATCCTCTGCCTTGCGGTGCCAGCACACCGGGTTCTAGTCCCGGTCGGGGTGCTGGATTCTGTCCCGGTTGCCCCTCTTCCAGGCCAGCTCTCTGCTGTGGCCCGGGAGTGCAGTGGAGGATGGCCCAAGTGCTTGGGCCCTGCACCCCATGGGAGACCAGGATAAGTACCTGGCTCCTGCCATCGGATCAGCGTGGTGCGCCGGTCGCAGCGCGCCGGCCGTGGCAGCCATTGGAGGGTGAACCAACGGCAAAAGAAGACCTTTCTCTCTGTCTCTGTCTCTCACTGTCCACTCTGCCTGTCAAAAAAAATAAAAAGAAATATCACATTCATTTGTTAATGTGACTTGTCATGACTGTTCACACTACAATGATAGCTATGAGTAGTTGTAGAGACTGTAGCTTCCAAGGCTAAAAGAATTTTAAACTTTGTACTTTATAGAAAAACACTGACTCCTAGTCTAAATTATTATACTTATTATATTATACATAATAAATAATATACTTTCCTTCTTTTATGATTTCCACTTACACTGTAGGCAGCAGGACTAATATTAACGACTTGGTCATTTGTTTACTTATCTCTTATATGAATATTTTTATGGTCCTACTAGGTGGCAGATACCTTGAGAGGTGCCAGAAATATAACAATAGGTAGAATTAGCCCAAATATCAATAAATTCATAAGTCTAGAAAGGGTATAGACATACAAGATAATACTGTTAAGACAGTAAGTACTCTCACAGAGTGGTATAAAAAGGTTATTGAGACATCACTTTTTATACTTTTTATTCACTATGTCTATTACTCCTCAGATTGAATGAGAGGTGGGTGAAATTATAGCTATTTCGGAATTGAATTTGTGGGGTCAAGTAGCTTTTTCTAAGTTGTTAAGCTAACAAAGGATAAAATTAGGACATGAATCCAGATGATTCTGATTCCAACACTTCATTGGAATATATTGCTTGATGTGACAACATATTCTATACTCTATACTCTCCCTAGTTTTTTCCTCCCTTAATCAGAATACCCTTAGGATTTGTTTTTGAAAGGCAAACCCACTCTACTGAATCACATTCTCCAATTCATTAAATCATCTTTTCACTGTGAGTTGGCTAACGTATTTCTCAACCTGGCTGGAATGATCTTCCATCTCTGATCCTTGCTGGGCTCAGTAGAGGCTGTGGAAATAGCTGAAGCCTCCAGGGAAAGAGTTTTATCTATGGCATAACTTTAGGAGTAAATGTTGGGCATAAGCTGCCTAATGAGAAATGCATTGTTATCCATAGAATAGGTGATTAATTTCCAGGTAACTGAAGTAATGTGTTTTGTATCTGAGCTATTTATTTTTCTGATGAGCTTATATTGTTTAGTTTCTGGTGCAGTTGTCTTTTGTCCAATATATCTGAATGAGCTTCCTGAGGTAATTTTGTTCAGAGATTTCAGAATTAACAAATAAATATAAAATGAAATTTGAATTTCAGAAAAACAACACAGGAGGCTTTACTTCAATCAAGTTTCAAATATTGTATGAAGACCTTTTCAGGAGAATGTGAAATTGGAATTTAACTAGGCATTCTCTGTTGAGGCAAACTTACCATAGGTGGACTTTGTTGTGCTGACAACTTGGCTCTTGTTCTAATCTTCTCCACAACAGTATTGTCAGGGTAGAATGGATAACAGCAAAGCTCACACTTACCTCACTGTTGATTTTTTCTTTCATATCAGTCCTAATATTTGAGTGTTCTACTGAAAAATCAGGATTATATTCAACACTGGGAATCTGGAAGGAGATGTGGTAATAGTGGGACTTCTGATCTGAAAGGCAGAATAGAAATAAATAAATTGCTTCTATTTGGTTCATTTCAGTTGTATAAACACAAGAGGACTTCAAGAAGTTCATACAAATGGAATTAAAAGATACATTTACTTTGGTACAAAAGGTTTTATTCATACTTTTTAATAATATACATTTTCCATGTGCATGAATCTGAACTTTTCCTCACCCAAATAAACTATCTTTAAATTCTATTTTCTGGGGCTAGAATTGTGGTGTAGCAGGTAAAGTCATGACCTGTGACACAGGCATCCTATAAGGGTGCCAGTTCATGTCCTGGATGTTCCAGTTCTGATCCAGCTCCCTGCTAATGTCTGGGGAAAAGCAGGGGAAGATGGCCCAAGTGCTTGAGCCCTGCAACCTACATAGGAGACCTGTGGCTTCAGCCTAAACAAATGCTGGTCATTGAGGCCATTTCAGGAGTGAACAAACAGATGGAAGGTGTGTTTATGTCCCTCTCTCTGTAACTCCAATTTTCAAAATAAATAAATAAATATTTTTAAAAATTCCATTTTCCATGAGTTTTTAAGTACTCTTGTTCTTAAAAAGAAGAGGTGATTATCATCAAAAAGGTTGCATAGAGATGAGTGTTTAGCCTAGCATTCAAGCCACCAGTTATCCCTTTCCTACATCGGAGTATGTGGCCTTGATCCCTTGCTCTGGCTCCTGACTACAGATTTGTACTAATGTAGACATTGGGAGACAGTGGCAATGGCTCAACAACTGGGTTTTGGCTACCCATGTGGGAGACCTGGATGGAGTTTCCAGCTTCTGGCTTTGGCCTGATACCTGTCCAGGTCATTATGAGCATTTCAGGAGTGAACCAGTGGAGTCAAGTTTTCTCAGTCTATCAAGTAAATTTAGATGCTTCAAAAGTTGGTATAATTGGTGAATTCCTGGGGATTCAGTTTTCAACAGTTCTGGCCAATAGCTCTCTCTAACTCTTTTTTAAGATTTATTTATCCATTTGAAAGTCAGAATTATATATAGAGAGAAGGAGAGGCAGAGAATGAGATAAAGAGTTCTTCCATCTGTTGGTTCACTCCCCAACTGGCTGGAATGGCCGGAGCTGTGATGATCTGAAGCCAGGAACCAGAGGCTTCTTCTGGGTCTCCCATGAGGATTCAGGGGCCCAAGGATTTGGGCATGTTCTACTGCTTTCCCAGGCCATAGCAGAGAGCTGGATCAGAAGTGGAGCAGCCAGGACTCCAACCAGCACCCATATAGGATGCTGGCACTGCAGCAATATGGCCCAACCTGCCAGGCCACATTTCTGGCCCCTCTGTTATTCTTTTTTAAATGCATATATTATCACAGTCACTGTGGTTGTCTGTTGGATCCTGAAAAAATTGTTACTTGTTAATGACAATTAATAAATTGCAGCTGTTAATTTAGTAAAGGTAATATGCAGCATTATAAGTGCCTGATACTAAAGTTATTATTTTTACTGAAATAGTATTCCAATTACTAGTATATTAAATATTACTAAAACATAAAATCACATAGGAATGTATTGGGTTGCTCAAGAGATACTATTATATCAATTGAATCAAATTTTAAATGTTGGAAGTAATTTTTACACAGAAACAATTATCATTTTTCAAATTAATATGTTTATTCAAATGAAAATGGCATTGCAAATGTTAGAAGATTGTTAGACTTTCAGACAAATTGAATTTTCAGATTTTCAAAATAATGTGAAATAGGTACTTACCATATGACAAAAAATAAACAAGGAGACCAATAATTATTGCCAAAATCAACACAATGGCTGTGACAATAAGGGCAATCATCCATGGTTGAACTGTGCTTGTTCTTCTACCCAGAATTGCTGGCCTTTTGAGAGAGAGAGAGTTGTTTATTAAAAACAGCTCTTTAAGACTGAATATTCTTCTCAGCATACAGAACTTTTCCTGGAATTTTTAGTTAGCTTATATTGCATTTGACAACATTTAGGTATATTTTTCTATGAAATATTAGAAAAGCACTACCAAAAATCTAATTGACATTTAAGTTTATATTATGATTTTTGTAAGTCAGTATTATACTATGGTTGACTACTATTTCCTGATCATTCTACCAGACATCTTCAACTATTTCTTTATAAATGCACTAATATCACATATCTGGTCCAAGTGCTTCAAGTCACAAAGAACCTCAGAGAGCAAGAGCATTTGTGTCACTTTTCTCATTATAACATGGACAGATAGCAGTTCACAGATTAAAAAAACCTCAAAGTTGAGTATTGAAGGAGCCAAAAATAAAAGTTGGGCTGTTGGGGGCTCTTTTCCCACTTTTATACTTCAACTTTATAGACGCAATCTAAAGTACATATGAAGAACATCTAAATTAGGGCAGATTGAAGAAAATTGAAGAGAATTTTAAGAGGGAAATCATTAGCAAAAAAGAAGAAATTCATAATAGAATGGACTCGGGCACTCTGCAGTGTGATATGGTTACTATCTATTTACAGGGTTGTAAGACTTTAACCTGTGATTTGTATAGATGACGTTGCATAGGATAAAGCCATATTTGAGTAAATAGAAAATCAATTTATAAAAAAATTTTCAGACAATAATAGTACCAGTGTTAGACAAAGATGGCAAAATGCATGGAAATTGTGTGCAGATGACTGACATTTGGGAAACCCTCACAGAAGCAGGGAAATATGACAAAGCTCTGTATCCACATCAGGTCTGAACAGTTCTAGAGTTGAGACGGTCTAAGATAACACAGTCTTGGGTTGTCTGGAGAGTTCTAATCCGTAGAAGAACCACATAACATTATGGTTTTGGGAATTTAAGATGCTGATTCTTATTCTGTCAAATTACATATAGAAAAGAACAAGAAGGAATCACCCTCTCTGGGATTGGAACCTGGTTGTGGTGAAGTGGAAAGTAGGCCCTGGCTAAATAATTATAGATACCAGTTGAGTAGCACCTTTGAACACTGGTGATCTGGAGAGAATGAAGATGACTCTGGTATTCTTGGGTCTGGACAGAGGAGAACCTACAGGCAGATTCCTACCCCCAAACCATCAACCTAAACTCTGAGAAGTATTCAGGAAACACTAATTCCGAGTTCAGCTGGGTTTCTGATAGAATCTAAAAGTTACTCTGTAACTGGTTGGTTGGTAATGAGAGAAAAACATTACAATCTGCATGTATCTGAAGCGTCTTCAGAAGCTGTGGAACTGGAGCACAAGCAAGAGCTGCTGAACTTATCCATCATCTTTATCAATAGAAGACCGTGGTGATCATGAATTCATTCACTTGACATTTACTGAGTTTCCTGTTCATGCTAATCAAACATCTGCTAGACCCACAATGATTAAAACATCATCTCCTTTCCAAGCATGTGTAATTGGAGACCCAGGAAGTAATCACCATGATACATGTGCTACCTGTCATCATGGAATGATGACCCAAATGCAATTAGAGATGAGTAAATGTAATTTGTTTTGCCTTAGAGAAGTTGTCATTGAACTGAGCCTTGAATACAGAGGTAGGGTGGAACCGGGGAAGGTGCCTTAGGCAGACAAAGATACACGAGAACCTGGGGCATTCTGGAGAAAACAGTATGTTAATGAGAGGAGAGGTAAACTTAATTAATGATTTTTACTCATTAATTAACTTGCCAGGTTTTTACTGAGCCTTACTCTGTATAAAACACAGAATAATATAAAAAAGAGTCTTCAAGAAGTCTTCCTTTTGAAGAATTGATAGTTAATAAAGAAAGCACAATTTATATATATTACTACCAGGATTTTGGAAAATTTCTAATGGAATTTTGGAGCTGGACTCATTATTTCCACTAGAAGAAACAATAGCTAAAAATATGATAATTTTTTATTTTAAGAATGCTGGGCCCATCTTCTTTCTGTCTATTTTACTCTTTTTTAAAAATTTATTTTTACATATTTGAAAGGCAGAGAGAGAAAGAAATCTTCACTCCACAATGGAGCTCCAGTCCAAAGTCAGACTGGGAACTCCATCTGAGCCCCTAGTGAGTGGCAGGGTCACAAGCACTTGAGCCGTCTTCCATTGCTTTCCCAGGCACATTAGCAGGGAGCTGGATCAGAAGCAGGGCAGCTGGGACTTGAACTAATGTTCACATATAGGATGCTGGTATGTAAGTAGCAGCTTAACCCATTGCATCACCACACTGTCCCCTATCTTACTGAGTTAGATACAGAAAACAATTTATAAAGAAGGAGCTTGTTTTGCAATGAAATTCTCATCCACAAATAGATGTAGTTTCCTGTTGATGATTCAATTTCTAATGCCAGAAACGCATTGTGACCTAATTACTATCTTATGTTCACAAATGAAAAATTGCTCAGTTTGTATCCTTACCTGTAAAGCCATCACCTTAGATTATTTTATCCTAAGTTTTTAATTAAGTAGTGTTTCTTTCAGTAACAACCTAATTTTAACTTAAACCTTGACTAATTTCAATGACTCTTCAAGGCTGTTAGAAGATTTAGCTTTATAGATACTGGTAAACATTTTTCAAAAAAATAAAAGAATGTGTCATAAAGTTGTAAACATCGCTAAACCATTTATACCACAAAAACTATTTTTAATAATTTTGGTAGAGATGAATTGCTCCATCCATGATTAGAGGAGGAATGAAATTAAGCATTTACCTGGAATCAAGGTAAAATTACAAGTTTTACACTTAAAAATTGCTGAAGGACTACTCTCTCCTGTTTCCTTCTTGGTTTCTCCCTACCCCTAATCCTTCCCATTAAAATAATTTATATTTGGTCAGAGTTTCCCAGCAAGGTGACTAAACAGGTTCACTGTAGTGCAGGAAAATCTAGTCTTAGAACAACTTCTGATATGCAAACAAAAGAAACATAAGCAACCTCATTCTGGAAGTATTCATGCCTACTCTAGATGAGCAGTGACAAAAACTACACATTCAGCAGGTCAGTCTAGAAAACATGTCTCAAAAAGTCAAAGCACTTTTCAAAGTGTCATTTTCAAATCCCTCCCTGCCTTCATCTAGCTTCTAAGTGAGTCATTATCCAGACTGCCTTATGAGCAAGTGTCCTCTGAACAAAATCTCAGCAGCATGGGAGAGACCCTGGCTCTTTTTAGCATTAACTATTTTCTTTCATTGGTACGATCTTTTACTGACATGCTTTCCCTTCCCCTCAGGTAGACCCTCTAGCATCTGTTCCTTTTGAAGATTTTCAATTTTTTTAAATTAAATATTTATATGTATGTAAATACATTTTTATGTATGGCAGAGAGAGACAGAGATCTCCTTCCGTTGGCTCACTCCTCAAATTTCCACAACACCCAGGGCTGGACCAGTTCAAAATTAGGAACTGAAAACTCAGTCCAGTTCTCCAATGTGAATGACAAAAACCCAACTACTGGAGCCATCACCTGCTACCTCTTGGGGTGCATATTAACAGGAAACTGGAATCAGGATTAGACCCAGGACATAAACCCTGGCATTCAGATGCTCAATGCCAAATGCTTCATTTAACCAAAATGTTACCTCTCAATATTTCAGAAATGAGGAGTAAAGAGATTTCTCTGTTATAGCAATGACCAAAGGATTTGAAAGCTTTTCAAAGAGATGTTCGGCATAGCAGTTTTAAATATAGTTTCAAGAGCCTTCCCAGACTAATTCTTTAGTTTTATTTATTTATTTTATTACTCTAATTTAGAAAGCAGAGAGAGACACAGAGAGTAAGACAAACAAAGATAATTCTTTCATGTGCTGTTACACTCTCCCCAGATGCCCAAAATACCTGGGACTAGGCTAATCTGAAGCCAGGAACTGGAACAGTCTGCATCTCCCACATTAGTGGAGCACCAAAGTACTTAAGCCATCACCTGCCGCCTCCCACGTGCACATTAAGGACTTGAATCAAGGCACTCTGATATAGGACACAAGCATCTCAAAGGGCAGCTCAACCATTTCACCAAACACCCATACTTCAGTGGAGTTCTTGTCTTAGCTCTCCTCAGTGTAGGATCTGGGGCTTAACTTAACTTCTTTGTGCTTCAATTTCTTCATGATTAAAAGGGGGTTAATAATATCCACTAAGTGGTATTATCACAAAGACTAAGTGAATTAATATATGTGAAAACACTTGGAACACAAAATGGAACATGGTAAAAGAAGTGTTTTAGGAGACTTAGGAGTTTCAGCTATTTTATTACTATTATCATCAATAGCATGTAATTTTCCAAAGTAGCTGAGAAAGGATTCTAAGAAGTTGGTACAGAGATGGAGTGAAATGAGCTGGTAGAGAGTGTGTTGGATGTTAGATGTGCGGCTCATGAACGAAAGGGAGGCCAGGACCAATTCCCCAGACTTTGGAATTGAGTGACAATACGGATACAAAACTAGATACAGATGGAGGGGAAGTTGGGGGAACCTAACAAAACCCTGCCAATACCCATGGAGTGTTCTAGTAGATTAAAGATCTTGAACTTTGAAGAAGGTTTGGCCAGAGTCCACAGGAGAAGCCACAGTCTGGTGATGGACATTATCTGATCAGTATCTATGGAGAAAGAATTACTGGATAAAGATTATAGTTATGGGAAAGTTGAACAAGATGGATGGATCAACAAGTTGGGGTTTTACTTCATTGCCTAGGGAAGACAGAATAACTCTGGAAGAAAAATGGTGTCATCCAAAAATCAGGAAGAGTAGTGTTATTATTCATGGTAACAGTGACTTACTAATGATTATGATAACCATTCTAATTAAACCACTAGATTCAATAAGTCTCATAAAATTGGTGATGTGGGCAGAAATACCAAACATTATGTAAACAAAAGAGATTTGTTGGGGCCAGTGCATGGCTCACTTGATTAATCCTCCGCCTGCAGCGCCGGCATCCCACATAGGCACTGGGTTCTAGTCCCTGTTG